CCGAAATGTATTGTTTTCCAAAAATTGACAAACAACAATATCCTCACCTCTTTGTTTTCATCTGCATCACTTTCATCAATTTCAATTGCATCACTGTCATCATCCTCATTCTCTTCTTCATCCTCATCTTCATCAACACTTTCAAATTCTACATCTTTTACATCGCCTTCTGTTGGCCCCGTCGATTCAAACAATATAACGCCACTTTCTGAAGGTCCTTGCAATCCTGTAATCAAAAGTTGTCAGTTCAAGATATCATTGCCTTTTTTAAGAAGGAATAAAAGCTCCAAACATTTGTTATTCATGAATGAATTATGAATGAAAAGAATTTAATTTGACCTGGTATTACTGGCATGTGAAATCCTTAATATCAGTAATCTTTTTCTAAACTGTTAGTGCTGCTATTTGGGAAATTTGTATTTGTTTTCCTTAAACAATACGGGCACCATAATTTCCAACCACAATTTTGGTGCATCATTTATTTTTATTTTTATACACTTTCTATATTTGTTTTGTTATAATTTGTGACCGAATACATGTTGTGTTGATCAAAATTTGGGAACACATTGTGAATGGTAATTAGTTTATAGTTTATAGTTCCAGTGTTACTTCTGGACGAAATGGACAAAATTCACCATCACCTACAGGTTTGGATACAAATTCAAGAGAAAAACAATGCCGGTTTATTTTGTTTATATGGCAATATGTACATATTCTGAACAGATAGACATGTTTGGAACATTGTATTCTGAGGGGATTATATGAATTTTCTGAACATGATTAAATGGTTAAAATATATTGAGTTGTTCAAAAACAAATATTTTTGGCAATTACACTATTGCTAAACAGCATTTTTTTCTCAAATAATGCCGTTAAACACATATAATGTTATTCATAATTCACAAGGACTTTCGATTTGGACAAACAAATGTGTAAACAAAAACTAAAATAGCATATTTATGACTAATAATTCCTGAAGGACAACAAATCGATAAAAATTACAGCAAAGTGATGCACTTTGGGTTGAAAATGTCTATCGTCTATTCATGTTGTCCTCATTTTCATCTGTCCCCATATCATCCTCATTTCATGTGCTGTACAGTGTTCTATGATTACATGTTATTCGTATATTTGATAAAGTAATGTACTTCTGAAAAGCCCTATTGAATGACCAATCAAACAACCATTGAAAAAATGGCAATAGATACCAGCAGACCATAAGAATTACTGGTACATGCTGTAAGGTATAAGATGGGGTGAAGTATACTGACCTTCAAACATCATCTTCTCATCATTTTCTAGTGAGCCGATATCAAATGCTTTGCTCATTTCTCCCACAATATCAGCACTAATGTGAGTTGGTAGTTTGTGTTGTTCAGGAGGATGTGTATAGTAGGTGATTTTACCACTGAAATAATCAAATTAAGTTTATAAATAAAGGCAGGACATTCAAATGTTGATAGTCAACAAACCCCAAAGCATTGCATCTTTTGTAGTTATAGCTATCAATGTGTAAACATACTTTCAATGTCCACTGTGTAAACATTTGGTATCACATCAAAATGTTGAATCTAAAATCCATGTGTGTGTTAATAGTTATCAGTTATAATTGAAATGTTTCATACATAATTAGTGAAAAGAAAGCCAGTAGTAATGTCATTCATAATTGTGTTAATGTAAAGGGAAGGTATAATAGGTGATTTTCCATACATTGCAATATCTTGCAATATGTGTGAAAGATATGAGGCAACATCTGCCACAAAAATCAAACGACTTGAAATTGAATTTCATTTCAGTTCAATGTCAAAATACCAATACTGCAGATAATTTATTAATTGTGTATAGCAAAAGCCCCAGCAAATAATTGTGTTTATCAAATCCATATGCAGTTTTGATGCAATTACCAGGGTACAATGCTATGACCTTTGTTTGTCCTGTTTTTTCATTCAATTTCACACATAAAGTGAGATCTCACAGTGAACGGTAAATGGTCTATTGATGCAAACACATTAACTGACAGTATTGTTGATAAGCCAAAGATGGATATGTCCATAAGACTAAGAAGCTATCAAAGTTATTGCATGATATCGTGTTCAATATAGTTTTAAGGTAACATAAACATCACATGTAAAATACATTATTTGTTTACATAAAATTCAAATGGTTGTTTATGCCAAACAAAAAGAATAAAGACAATTATCAAAAGTATTATATTATGTACCTATTCCAGTTGGTCAAAACAGTCTTGGCTGCCTTTTCAATGGCAGGTACACCACCTTTTTTCAGTTTACCCTGTTTTCGTGCTAGTAGTGCTAAAAACTCATTGACGTTATTGAAGTTAGGGACAGAGTAATAAAGCATCAACTGAAAAAAACAGAATATAATCGTGTTATCATTGATAATATTAATCTTAGATATTGCAATAGACATTACATTATAACAGCTTGCTGAAACTCGCTATTACTCGTCTTCAGAAGCCAGTTTTATTAAATGGTAATTCTTATGTCATCTTCCAGAATCTCATGAAGATTGGATGATTAATTCACACTAATTCATATAAAAATTGTGTAAGAAAATCGTGATGTTGGGAGACGATATCAAAGACATGAATTTTGATCTGGAATGAAAAAAAAGATAACTACATGTACTACATCCAAAACATAGATACTGAAAACACAAGGAATATCATCCCTATGTTACAGCCGTATAACATGATGGTGCTGACTGACAAGGCACTATGTCAACTCAAGTGACAAAACTATTCACTGCAAGTTTTGAAGGGTACAATCTGTATATCTAATGATACAAGTCGCATGCTACATAAGAACTGAAATGTGTTGGATCCAACTCACCTGTTGTTTATTGCACCGTTTCAAAATAGCTGCAACTGGTGATACTGGGTCGGCCAGCGTCTCAATCTACAAGTGTTGAAAAATCACATTACACTGTATTAGTCAGCAGAGTTTTATGATTCCCACGATGTTAAACCCATTTGCAGAAAGAATAAAGTTCAGGATAACCATAATACAAAATATACATTTGAAAGCACAAATTTGATTGTAATATTTACTGCATTTGCTCTATTATAAGCACATATTCAATCAACCCTAATTCAAGAAGAACATTCTTGTTAACACACCAATTGCTGATGATGTTTTTCCCACTATTTCAGATATCTGTGGAGGTTTTCGAAACTTGTATTGATGCTAACGCTAAAGCAAATGCAGTACCCACAATACTTACTTTTACACAATTTCTTAATACCATAGCAACATCTGAAGCTCCTGTTGCCATGACAATACCTGGACAATCTAACAACTTTACATGTTTATCCAACTGTACTTGTTGCATTGATCTGCATTGAATCAAAGTTTCATCATTAGGAACTGTGACAGAATTTACTAAACAGATTGGCAACTCAGAACTAGTTGTAAAACAATGCAGCATCAAAGGGAATTAAAGATTCCATTTACTCTCAAAATGTAGACTATTAAATGTATATGATAGTGCGATAACACCCCCAACCCCATTGACATCCAAGTCGCACCTCCCTGTACCAGTATTAAAAAGGTTGTTAAAATTGATTAGTAAACATGGCTGCCGAGTAAGAAGAACAATGGGTCATATTGGATTGCACACTGTGTGCACACAAGTGATGGTATCATACATATGCAAGGTTTTGAAGTAGAATTGTAAAACTATAACAGTAGCCAACATAATCATAAGGTATGGACTTTGTGGAGCTTCTCATCTCTCAAAAAAATATTTGCATTTGCCTCATTATATATTTATACATGTTACTCAGAAAAAAATGGTCCATCAAATTTAGAAAAGATACATTTGAGTTTTTTATAATAAAGATTGAATCAGCGCCTTAAAAACTTAATATTGAATATTGCAATATGTTTCTAATCATTCTTCCTATGCTTACACTAAATGGTGTAATATGACAATATATAAATTTAATCTGATGTTGATAAACATGGACATGCAAGGACATCTAGAATATGAAAGATTAATACTCACTTGGTAACACCAGGAGTTGCTCCAACAACACAGCTCTTGGCTCTTTTAAGACTATTAATTAGACTACTTTTCCCAACATTGGGAAAACCTGAAATAAAAAACATTCTATTCGGTGGGCACAGGAGAAGGTTGGGTAAAAATCATTGAAACACTAAATTGTTTTGCCTCGTACAAAAATCAAAATACTTGTTAAGTAACTCACAGAAATGAGTAAAACACACACACAAAATTGCCACTAGTCAATGGACCATGTAGTTAATGTTAGAAGTTTTTACTCACCAACAACACCAACTGTGATGGATGTTTTAATATCAGCACTTCTACAATAATTAGCTAGTAATTTCATCAGGGAATCCGATCCCAGGCATGCACTCGATTCAACTAGTTCTTTAGTTGCTTGTGATAACTGAACTTTACTCCGTGACTGAAATACAAATGTACATAACACATGTACCGGTACTATTCTATACATTTTTAATGTTGTCCAGTACTGCATATGCACAATAGATCTTGATTTTCGTATTAAAATAAAATATTTTTTCTGATGCATATGCCATCAGGCATTTGACACTGAAAATACTATAATTACTGCCATACTGACTTGTTCTGAAGTGTGACAAATGTGTTCAAATGTCTTCCTTATTTGAAAAATATGCATCATGTTTCCTTTTGTTAAAGGGGAACCGCTCAATCCCATGGATTGCACCAAAGAATCATGGGACACTATTGTTTATGTTGTTTACAATGTTAATCTATCTTTTGTTATCCATTGTTATTTTAATCCAGAAAGTAAATTTGTTGTGAAATTAATCTTAAATGGAAGGTGCCCCTTTAACATCAAACATAGAAGCACTGTAGCATGTGATGGAAATTAAAACCTGTCACTGAATACAAATATTTGCAATGTTGTCATTTTGAACTGTTATCTCTCATTAAATTATTACTACAAGCAGAGAAAAGCTACATAATAATAAGGTTATCAGAGAATACTGCAAAGTATGCACTCAGGTAGTACAGGAACGCATCAATCTCAGCCTATGTAGATTAATACAATTGTCTAACTGCGTTTGTGTATATTTTGAGATATTCTTGTAATTACCTCATAATATTCAAAAGCAAAATCATTTCACAAATAGAACTTACCAGATTCTGTTTTTGTGTTTGTGTTGAAGCTTTGAATGCAACAGTTGGAAACTCATTTCTGAGATGTTTCAACCATTTCTCAATCAATTCTTTTGGAATAAGATCTGAAAAGAATAGCTTTTTATCATCATTCTGGATAAATTATCAAAAATTGCAATAAAATCATATATAGTTTAAAATACTTACCAATCTTATTTAAAACCAGTACAATTTTTTTGTTAGTTCCCGATGCAAGAACGGCTTGTTCCACTTGTGGACATCTGCATCCTAATGGATCTCGGGCATCTAAAACTTCCAGTATAACATCAGAAGCATCTACAACTTTCCTAAACTCCTTGTAATAAGCTTTTCGTGAACTCTCAACACCACTACCAGCATCATACGTCTTTGAGGAAATTTCCTTCATGAGAGCCTCCTATTGAAAGATATTCAAATTTGGAGCATCAGGAGATTTGCAAGTATGGTAGATGTACAGCATGGTAGATGTATATGATCATTGCCTTATTAATAAAGTAAAAAACCCATGCAATTTTGGCATATGGGCTACGATGACAATGAACGTATAGCTAATATTATATACGTAGCAGTAATCAATAGACCATTTTCAATTCACTGCGAGATCACACGTTTTGCGAGAAATCGAACATAAAAACAGTATAAACAACGGTCATAGCATAGTGGTGTCGTTAAAACATCAGGTTAGGATTGACAAACATGAAAGTATTTTTTATAAGCTTTTTTTTTTTAATTGTGCTATACATAATTGATTATGGTAAATTTTTATGAAGTAATTGCCTCTCAACACCATGGAAAGATGCATGTATGTATGTATAATATCAAAGCAATCAAGAAGTCAAAAATATCACTTTTTACCAACAATTACAAATATATTCACCCAAATTAGAGAATTGAAGATATCATCATGAAATTAACAAATTTAATGGAGGTCTACCCAAGGTACATACGGTATACACCAAGTATCAAAGCAATCAATCAGACAATCAGACGTAGTTTTCGAAAAGTCACAATCACAATCACTAGTATGATAAACTGTGCTTGACGAAGTCAACAGCAGAGCAACTGTAAAAAGCTCATTGCAAGTCTTAATTCAGCAATAAATTTCAAATTGAACAAACATTTACATACTTTATTCTCAAATTCTTTTTGTCTTCTAACTGCATCTTTCGCAAAACTTTCCAAATTTCTCTTTTTATTCGCAAGCTGCTGTCTTTGTTCTTTCTGGCGTTTTTTCTGCTCTTCAGCCTGTTAGAAAAGTAAATTTGTTTTTCTTTTAGAACTACATGTTTGGTCGCGCATTATAAATGGAACAATAATATGCATGCTAAACTTCGGTAAGTCTTGAAATACCTTATAGTGTTTTGGGAACAAGTCTCACTTTTGACAACATTTTATTATCTTGGAAGGAGTTCCTTAATTAATATCCCTCAACCCTAACCCTAATCCTTCTAACACTCTAGACCCCTCAATGTAATTCAATATTTCCTTCCAAATAACTATAAGTGACATGAATAGGGGTATATACAATTGAAATGGGGAGGGGCAGTGCAGGGGCAGAGGCAGGGTTAGGATTAGAGTTACATAACAGTACAATACAACCAAGGTTTCCACTAGTTGTATAGGTGGGTTTTACATGGTATATGACAACAGACTGTCAGTAGCAAGTCTGTAATTATTTGGTCATAGCTAGAAAAAAAGGCACATACAGATTGAGAATATGATCATCTAGCTTACAGAATTATGAGCATTCTGTGCAATTCACAGGTTATTCATGTTACTGAGTGTTATAATGTCAATAAAGCACAATAGTGAATTGGCTGTCTGGTAATTCAATACACAAACAATAGTATGGCATATGCACTACCATATTCGTCCATATCTATACATTTCAAATGATGTACAAATTGTTATAGTAGCATGCTTAGTAATCTTTAGAAATATCTGTATATCGGATAAATTTTTCTTGTTTTTCTACCTTAAAGCAAGGGAGTCGCACCTGCACATGCATCAGATGGCCATAGAGTGTCATTGTTTACAAACAAGCATCTACCCATGAACCTTTGCGTTTTTAGCGCATGTTATCGCTTGGGACTCAATTCCCATGTGTGCGCAGGTTACAACCCTCTCGCTTTAAAGAATAATCAAAATGAAAATCAGAAATATTTGTTATCAATCCATGACTCTTACTCTAATTTTCCGTTCTTCAGCTTCTCTCAAGACTTGCTCTTTAAATGGTGCCATATTTGGAACCCCCGGATCCTTCTTTCTTCTAGGTCTCATATTTATCTTTTTCTTGTCAGCTTTTCTCACTTGTCGGTGATGTTCCTTCACCTACATTGGTATCATTTAAATGTTGTTAAAAACAAGAATTAATTTATCACCCAGTTAGTAAAGACTCTATTCTACGATAACAAAGACATTTTTTTTTCCATTATCACATATATTTCATTAAAAAGCCATGTTTTCAAACCTACAGTGAAGGGCAGAAAGCTGGGGTCGTTATAAATGTTTTTTATAAATATTGGTCTTGGTGTTATTATTGGTAATATTAAATTAACCAAGCTCAGAAATGCGAATTCCATACCCTTACTAAGTTTGTCAGAAGTTTGGATCACACAAGTTTAGGGAGCCATTCATAGCATATTACCATTGTAAATAAAAATATGCTTGTATAACATGCTTCATTTATGATTATATTTCATTTATGTCTAATAATATCGAAAACATTAAGATTAATTGAAGGCAGCAAACATTTGTAGGATGGAATTTTAAACTACTACATTTTGTACATGTGTATGAACAATGAATGAATACCTATAACCTTATCCCCACCCTCTGTGCCCTCAATCTCCTATACATTACATGTACCTTTTTCTCAATCTTGAACTTTAGACGGCAAGACATTCGCTTGCTTTTCATTTTACCTGAAACAAGGACATATACATTAATAAATGTACATACTTAAAAACGAATAATAATATGAACAATACAACGAGAAGTAAACATTGACTTACGAGGACGTCCCTTCCGCACCATCTTGGAATCGTTGCTAGCGTTTGACGAAATGTGAAATACACGTGTGGTGAAAGGTCAAAGTTTATCCTTATACGATCTAAAATAGGATTCATTATAGTGTAGTGTGTTTTAGGCAAAAATAAACGTGATGACAGTTTAGACGATAGAAGATTCATATATTACAAAACCATAAAAAAATATAGATACATATTAAATAAGTAACAACGTGAATTAATTATTATAAAAAAAATGGGTAGTTCGAGGTCGTAATCTCGCGGAGATGCTCCTGTACGAAATCTCGCGTGAACTATCGTGTGGAAGATGGCGGCTTGCAAATGAGTATTCGAGAGTACGAGTTTCAAATTGCGATAGAAAAAAAACGATTTTTAAATACACTATCACTGTAGGAATTATTTTTTTGAGGTGAGGCGATTATTCCATATTTTAAAATATTTGCTGTCATGAAATTATGTTCGAATATTTGTACACAAAGCAAAGGAAGAGTATATAAATTCTCCGGCCACGACAATGTTTTGTTCTTTCACTGTACGCGGTTTCTTTTGTTTGATTGGTGCTTGGTGAGATAGGCCGATCGACTCACTGTCCTACTAAATGTATACAATAACACGTGCTCTTACGTACTGTTCTTGAGTCGTGTTTTGATTATTATACTTGTGTTATATCTACGCTTAATAATTGGCGATATTCATTTCTCTGCAAATTTGCCAATATTTTATGTAACCTTGAACGCTCTGCAAATTTTACGTTGATCGATTTATTTCCATCCATGTTAATGTAAATGTGTGCATCAAAGTAACTCAATTCAGTTTTAGCTACATGTATGATCATAACAGTTTGTTTTGGGACGTGTTTGTGTCAAAGTGTAAACGTAATTTCGCGCACAATTTCTGTACACTACAGCGGGGGCGGGGGGGGGGGGGAGCTACTGACGATAAGTATTTACAGATGTTTCAGGCGTTGGTGTATACAGTGATTTCTAGTCTTATTATACTACACCTCCATGTAACAGGGGTGTAGATTTTTATATATGCAGTAATGACATTAGTAAACGATTAATAATTTTTACTTTCTATGTGGAAGCAAAGATTCCACTAATCTTTTTGAGAAGCGCGCTCTGTTATGTATTGTGTGTATCATGGGATTAGATGCATGAAATTATATTTTATGTAACTCTATCTTAGTTTGGTCTCAGACTGGTTTCATAATTAAGGTAATGGTATCTAGGCATGCATTTCGGGCACAGATTCTGCTAAATTGCTAAAATTGTCTATTATATGGAATATCGAATATGGAATATCGAATGACATCAAGACAATTTTTTGATGCCCCTGTGAAGTTACAAGTTCTGCATCTCAAGTCAATTGATACATATAACAATGATAATAATAATGATCTGCAGAGTTGGGAGGGCACCCATTTTTAAGGCCAAAATTTATAGAATGGTCTCAGCACATAAGAATAATATAGGGATTACCACAGGGCACCAAGTCAATGAAGCCTTCCTTCAAGTTAAAACCTCATGCAATTTTAGCGAAATTTACTCAATGTAAGAATTAATAAAAGTGCCAACAATCTCATTGTGAAAATAAAGTTTTATTTTTAATTTAATAGCAACATCTTGAATTAGCGAAATTGCGAATTAGCTAAAAGATGTGTTTTACAGTTTGAGGACTGTAGTGTGATATTCCCTCTATTCTGATTATTCAACAGTTTACGTAATATTCTACAATGTCCAAAAGACGAAGATCTGTAGCATCTAATGATACCAGAGATGATGAATCCTCAACAACTTCTGCTCCACCAATTAAGAAGAAAAAAAGATCTGTTACCCAAGTTGTGGATCAGGTAAAAAAGAAATATGCTTTTATTACAACACTGT